CTGGAGCTCCCGGATCTCCAGCCCGCACTGGGTGGTCCCCAGCACCACGAAGTCCTCGGTGAGGCACATGGCCGTCACCTCCTGCTCCAGGGGCACGGACGCCAGGAGCTTCCCGTTCACGGAGTACAGGTGGAGCGCAAACCTGTCCTGGAAGAGGGCAGAGGGCGGGGAGCACGCGCCGCTGGGCACGGGGAGGGGGCCCCGGGGAGCCCGGGCCGTACCTTCAGGCAGGGCCGCTGGCTCGCGTGCTCTGGGCGCACCACCTGACCACCTCGGGGCCACCAGGCCAGCTGGGACTAGCACGGCGGGGACCGCAAGCTCTCGCCCGGCGGCCGCAGCGAGCGGATGGAGAGCCCCCGGCAGGCAGCGGTGGTGGCGTGATGCATGGTGCCGGTCCTGCGGGAGGAGGGGACACGGCCTGACACGGTGACATTGATGGTGGCACTGACGCCACCCGGAGAGGCGCGAGTGTCAATGGTGGATGGCTCAGAGCAACTGGCGTCGTTTAGCAAAACCATGCGACTCGCGTTTTCTCTCATTCTCGAGGTTGTATCCTCCTATCCACTTCCATCCCTTTCCTTATTCTCCATTTCCTTCCCCATCTCCACTTCCATCCCCTTCCTTATTCTCCATCTCCTTCCCCATCTCCACTTCCATCCCTTTCCTTATTCTCCATCTCCTTCCCCATCTCCACTTCCATCCCTTTCCTTATTCTCCATCTCCTTCCCCATCTCCACTTCCATCCCTTTCCTTATTCTCCATCTCCACCTCCATCCCCTTTCCCATCTCCACTTCAATCCCCTTCTTTATTCTCTATCTATTCTCTATCTCCATCCCTTTCCTCATCTCCACCTTCACCTCCATCCCCATCTTCACTTTCAGGTGACCATGACAAATCAACCTTTGTTCACCCACGAGCTGGTTTTGAGCCAGAGAAGGGCAGAGGCTGACAAGAAGCAATCCTGGTGGGATAATGGTTTTTGTCCTGCCCATGTCCTCCCTCACACAGCTGGCTCAGGGGTGACACTCCCCTGCCAGGGGGGACATTCCCAGGTAGGGCTGAAGGTTTCCATCCCTTCTGATGGGGCACAACTGGCCCAACTATGCTGCTCATGTCTTAGAAGGGTCATAAACCACCAAAGGCCCCCGAAGTGCCCTGTGATCCACAATGTCACATCACACAGTGTGAAACCCCCCCACCCAGGGGAGGAACCTGGGTGTTCCCACCTGAACCTGAGCATATTTTAACTCACTGAACTTTGTGTTTTGGGGGCTTCCCCCACCCCTTGTGGATCAAGACCAAACCATGAGTTTGGCACCAAAACTGCAACACTAAGGTCTCATGGCTGGATCCACGGGTGGGGACTATTTACTTTTCTCTCTCCTTTTCCTTCCTCTTTATCTCTCTCTTTCTTCTCCCCCCTTCTTCTTCTCAAAATATATCATCGGCCAGACTTAAAAGCTTTCAGCCAAAGCCTTAGTAAGTGCCTTGTTTTGCCTGGATAAGCTGAAGTTGGCCAGGCTTGACTTTGCTAAGTTAAACTTGGTTTAGTGTCTCACTTTGGATGTCGTTTTCAAGTTTGCCCAGTACCTTCTTCCACCTCAGTGTTCAAGTTATTGAACCTCCCGAGGATTTGGATGTTTCTCAATCAATCTTCCCCTAAACCCGGGGTGCAACACCCCCCCCGGGTGACCCCCAGCTCACCTTGGAGCCCGACACCGCCATGTCCAGCTCGGTGCTGATGGCCACGCACGTCACCTCGGCGTCGTGGCCGTACAGGACCTGCACAGGTTTGGGAGCCAAGCCGCTGGAAAACCCACCCTGGCGTTGGGGACACGGACATCAGTGACCTGCTGGCGGTGCCCACCATGAGCTCCCCCCTGGATAACCCCTGACCTGCTGCAGGACCTGCCACACCATGCAGGTGGTGTCCCGGGATCCAGAGATGAGGTAGATGCCGCAGAGGTCGAGAGCCAGGCAGGTGACAACATCTGGGACAGGCAGAGGGACACCATGAGCTCCCATCCCACTGCACTTGGCATCCTGACTCCATGGGATGGCACCACACCCCCTGACTCCATGGGATGGCACCACGATGTGTTTTGGGGTGTGGAATTGCTGCTACCCCCACTCCAAGAGGTGTTTTGGGATGTGGAATTGCTGCTACCCCCACTCCAAGATGTGTTTTGGGATGTGGAATTACTGCTACCCCCCATTCCAAGAGGTGTTTTTGGGTGTGGAGATGCTGCTAATCCTCATCCCCCTCTAAGGTGTTTGAGGGTGTGGAATTGCTGCCAACTCCATTCCAAGACGTGCTTTGTGGCGTGGAATTGCTGCCAATCCCACTCCAAGACATATTTTGGGATACAGAATTGCTGCTACCCCACTCCAAGATGTGTTTTTGGGTGTGGAGATGCTGCTAATCCTCACCCCGCTCCAGGATGTGTTTTGGAGCGAGGAATTGCTTCTACCCCACTCCCAGGTGCGTTCTGGAGTGTGGAATTGCTGCCACCACCACTCCAAGACATGTTTTGGGATGTGGAGATGTTGCTGACCCCGTTCCACCCCAGCTCTGAGATGGAACCCGGACTATCCCCAGAAGATGGACACCGGGAGATGCCCCTCACTTGTCCCCTTCTCCCACCACGGCCCCTACAACCCCCTCAGGGTGTCACAGACCCTCACCATCCCCACCCTCTGGGGAGGAGGCCGTACCTATGTGGCGGGTGATGTGCCCCACCACCTTGCCCTTGGCCAGCGAGGTGACCCTCAGGCTGTTGTCCCAGTGTCCCCCGCTGAAGAGCAGCTTCCCATCGGGAGACACGGCCAGCGTGCGGGAGCTGAGATCGGCGCCGGGGGCGAAGGGGCCCTGCAGGAACCGCTGCGTCCTGAGGGGGAGGGATGAGCTGCTGGACCGGTGGCACCTCCAGGGACCACCCCTGGGGACCGCTGAGCGGGCCCGGGGGACTCACTTGGCGTTGGACACGGTGGGGTCTTTGGTGAAGCTGAAGTAGTTGGAGATGTTCTTGTCGTAGGGCAGCCAGTTGTGGGTCCCCAACAAGCCGTTGGCGCTCCACGGTGACCTGGGCAGAGGCGGAGGGGCAGTGACACCGACTCCCATCCCCCAGTCAGCCCTCTGGTTGGGTCCCTGGACCCCTCTGGAGGCAAGAGAACCCCCCACAGTGCTCGCAGTTTTTCTGCACTCACCAGGAGCGTCGGGGGATCCCTGAGTGATGAGGAATGCGCCTGTCTGGGGACCACGGCACTGCACCCCAGGGCCACCCCGTCTACTGATCCCTGGGGGGACACAGGCAGCCGTGGGCAACCTTCCTGGCCACGCCCAACCCCTTCCCAGTCCTGCCGGGGACCCCCGGGGTCGCCCTCACCTCCACAAAAGAAGGTTTGAGCTGGTGCCAGGTGCTCGATAGACGTTGGGGAGCGGGTGTCGAGGCGGCCAGCCTCTGGGGCAGCGCTCTCTGCCGACAGCAGGTGCGGGGTGGGGCTCCTTGGGGGGGCAAGGGGACCCATCAGCAGGGGGGTGACCCCCCAAAAGGGGCTGGTTTTGGGGGTGGGGGGGGTCTGGGCTACCTTGAGCAGCTGGCAGGGCGTCTGCCCGAAGTTGCTGATGATGCCCTCCAGGGCCTTCCGCTGCGTCTCGTCGGCGATGGCGTCCAGGTCCACGGCCCCTGGGGATGGGGACGGTCACGGGAGGGCCACCTGGGAGATGCCTCTGGCCCAGGAGGTGCCCCCCCAGCTCCCTTCCCCATGGCTCACCCTCGTAGGTGCAGTAGTAGAAGACATTGAGGGCCTCCACGGCGGCCGGGCCTCGCTGCTTGTACCCAAAAATGAGGTCGATCCACTCGTGGAGGTGGGCTGAGACATACTCTGACTCCTGGCCAAGGTGGGGGCATTAAGGGGAGTTGGGAAGGCTCCCCATCCCCCTGGGATACCCCCCGGGGATGAGCTCCCCCGTCTCACCAGGGCTTTGCGGTGCTGGTGGATGAAGTCCTCGCGGGACCGCGCCCACCGCGGCAGCACCACGTCGCCCACCTTCTCGTTGGAGAGCTGGAGACAGCCCAGGTCGAAGCCTGTGGGCAGGGGGGGAGTGTGAGAGACTGGGATGTTGATGGTTGGTGGCTCAGATCATCAGCCATTTGCAAACACAGCCCTTCCCCATCTCCATCTCCACTTCTATCCTCTTCCTTGTTCTCCGTCTCCATCCCCTTCCCCATCTCCACCTTCAGAAGGTGACCACGACAAATCAACCTTTGTTCACCACTGAGTTGGTTTTGAGCCAGAGAAGGGCAGAGACCGACAAGAAGCAATCCTGGTGGGATGATGGTTTCTGTCCTGCCCATGTCCTCCCTCACACAGCTGGCTCAGGGGTGACACTCCCCTGCCAGGGGGGACATTCCCAGGTGGGGCTGAAGGTTTCTGTCCCTTCTGATGGGGCACAACTGGCCCAACTACGTTGGTCATGTCTTAGAAGGGTCATAAACCATCCAAGACCCCCGAAGTGCCCCCAGACTCATTTCTGGGGTGTTCCCACCTGAACATATTTTAATCCCCTGAACTTTGTGTTTTGGGGGCTTCCCCCACCCCAGACAGATCAAGACCAAACCATCACTTCAACATGGACCTGGCAACAATCAACTCTTGCCACTGGATCCATGAGTGGTGAGAACTTTCTACTTGGATCCTTTCCTTCTCTTTCTTTCTTTTCCCTTACACATTTTCTTAAGTGAGAATTTTATACTTTTATATTCCTATATTTCTGCAGATAATAATAACACAAATGGGCTCCATCTCTGCTTTTCATTGCAACCGAATTGTTCTGAAATAAACCCTAAAGTAATAAATAATAATTCATTAATATAAAAATATAATAATACATTAATACACAATATATAGTATCATATCATAGTAATGGAATAATATATTGTGATATATTATATAATACATAATAATATATTGTATAATATATGATATATCATATAATAATATATAATATATAACATGGCAATATATTATAATTAGTAAATTGATATTATAAATAAATATTAATAGAGTAATAGAGAATAATATATTGTGAATATTATATATTACATAGTAATATATTGTAATAAATATGATATTATTGTATAATATAGGGGTGATAGTACATAATATATATATGTATAACACAATATATTTAGTAAATGATATATATGAAATATATTATATAGTAATAGAATAATATATTGTGATATATTATATATTACATAGTAATATATTGTATAATATGATATATTGTATAATATATGATATACAATAATATATAATATATAACAGCAATATATTAGTAAATGATATATAATAAATAATATTATATAGTAATAGAATAATATATTGTGATATATTATATATTACATAGTAATA